TTTGTGAATGTAGGACCTTGCAAACCTTGCATATTTGGAACCTTGTGAATGTAGGACCTTGCAAATTTGGGACCTTGCATATTTGGAACCTTGTGAATGTAGGACCTTGCAAATTTGGGACCTTGCATATTTGGAACCTTGTGAATGTAGGACCTTGCAAATTTGGGACCTTGCATATTTGGAACCTTGTGAATGTAGGACCTTGCAAATTTGGGACCTTGCATATTTGGAACCTTGTGAATGTAGGACCTTGCAAATTTGGGACCTTGCAAATTTGGGACCTCGTGAGTGTAGGACCCTGCAAATTGGGGACCCTGCAAATTTGGACCTTTGCAAAGTTGGGACCTTGTAGATATAGAATCTTGCAAATTTGGGACCTTGCACATTTGGATCCTTGTGAATGTAGGACCTTGCAAATTTGGGACCTTGCAAATTTGGGACCTCGTGAGTGTAGGACCTTGCAAATTGGGGACCCTGCAAATTTGGACCTTTGCAAACTTGGCACCTTGTAGATATAGAATCTTGCAAATTTGGGACCTTGCATATTTGGAACTTTGTGAATGTAGGACCTTGCAAATTTGGGACCTTGCAAATTTGGGACCTCGTGAGTGTAGGACCTTGCAAATTGGGGACCCTGCAAATTTGGACCTTTGCAAACTTGGCACCTTGTAGATATAGAATCTTGCAAATTTGGGACCTTGCATATTTGGAGCTTTATGAAATTTATCAACTTGCAAAGAAACCTTGTGAATTTAAGATCTTGCAGACCTGGAGTCCTGCGAATGAATATTACACCAAATATTAAAAAACTGACATACTAAATCACCTAATCATCTGCCATCTCTACCATCTACCCTCTCTTATCCATCACATAAAACGTCCCCAATATATCACCCTTAATAACACTTCCAAAATAATTCTTAAAACCTCATTATCCAACACCACTTTTACCTCTGATGAAGACCTTAACAGTCCACCCTTAACCGTATTTTTTCGATAATTTACAGCGAACCTTTTCGTCTCGCGTCACATTCTACCCTAATTCAAAGATTATTTACGACTGGAATGTTGGAGGTTGGTTCGCAAAATTTGTAGGAGCAACGTGGGCGTGAAAGTGGTTTGCAATTTCGGTTGGATGTGTTATTCATACCCGTCGAAAACGCGGCGTTCGTAAATTTCCACGTTTA